ACCGCCAACTGCACCGGAAAATAAGGGAAACAGTAAAGAAAACCAAATGAAGAACAATGAAAAATAAACTATACTCACGAAATGAACGCTATGGTAAACGACACAGCCCGATTCCAACGCAATGTAACACGAAATAATTAAATCAAAATGAAAATAAATGGAAACTGTTTCTGCTTTGATTTCACTCGGAATCTCTTGTGATACTTGTGACCCCGTGATACTCGCGTTTCCATGGAAGTATACTTTTCGGTTTCATCTGTTGTTACGAAACGGAACCTATTATCCTATGCAACGGTCTGTTCTAGCGTTAATATGGAAACGACTGCACTGAAGAAGAAAGAAAGTTATAACAAAAACATATGAAATTGCAAAACAATAAAAAAGGAAAGAACATGAACTGGAAAACAAAGAAGAAACAAAAAAAATTAAAAAATACTGACGAAATATTTCAATTCAAACGCAGATCAATCGACACAGCCTAATCCAACCGCCAATTGCACCGGAAAATAAGGGAAACAGTTAAGAAAACGAAATGAAAAACAACAAAAAATAATCTATACTCAGGAAATGAACACTACGGTAAACGACTCAGCCCAATTCCAACGTAATGTAACACGAAATAATAAAAAAAAACGAAAATTTCGTTGCCACAACAGCTCGTTGCCACGGTTATTCCTAGGCAGCGATCCGCTGTTTCAACAGTTCGTTGCCACGGTTATTCCTAGGCAACGAGATGTTGGTATTCGATGGACGACGTATAACACGTTACAGTATATTAATATTGAATACAATTAAAATACTTTTACATGTTTTTACCTGTCACGGGTGTGACATCTATATAATAGGTATATGAAAACACGCGCGTGTTCGAATGCAACGTTGTGTCAGAATTTCAAAGCAATCGGTGAAGAACTTTCGGAGATCTTCGATAAGAGACAAACCAACATTTACGTTTTTATTTATATAGATATATATAACGTTGATATCAGAATTCCTTCTTGAGCTCTATACTTACTTGCATTTATTTCTGGATTTGGTGTTTAATAGAACTTTGAAAACGGACTCCATGGAATGAAACCCTGCTTCAGTGCAAGATTTTCAGTTTCACATGCCCTACACACAGCTTATATACTTACCGGCCTGAGCCGCGAAATGGAGGGGCGTGTTGCCTTCATTGTCTGGCTTGTTGATATCCACGCCCGGTAGCTCTGTGATGGCTTCTAGCATCGACAGCAAGCCATTGGACACGATGTAGCTCACAGGAGTCTGCAAAGCAAACCGAGAGTACAATTTTTTTTATATACTATTAATAATACAAAACTATAATTTTGCCTGTGGTTCTGTATGTCTGTGAAACTTGGTCTCTGACATTAAGGGAGGAACATAGACTGAGGGTGTTTGAGAACAGGGTGTTGAGAATATTTGGACCGAAGAGGGATGAAGTGACAGGAGGCTGGAGAAAACTGCACAATGAGGAGCTTCATAACTTGTACTCTTCTCCAAGTATAGTTAGAATGATCAAGTCAAGGAGGATGAAGTGGGCAGGGCATGTAGCACGAATGGGAAGGGGATAAATACATATCGGATATTGGTGCGAAAGCCGGAGGGAAAGAGACCACTGGGAAGACCAAGGCGTAGGTGGGTGGACAATATTAAAATGTATCTCAGAGAGATAGGGTGGGAGAGTATGGAGTGGATTGATCTGGCTCATGATAGGGACAGCTGGAGGGCTCTTGTGAACGCGGTAATGAGCCTTAGTGTTCCATAAAATCCTAGGAAATTCTTAGGTATCTGCACAATTGGCAGCTTGTCAAGAAGGGCTCAGCCGCATGAGTGAGTGAATCAGGATCTACAGGAAGTGCATTTGACAGCCAACTGCAAATCGTTCGGCCAGCTCTACGTAAGAGAGAATAGCTCCTCGCACTAACCATTTCCTTGCGGGTTCAGACCCGAAACGCAAAATACAAGCCCAACCCTGTTATTATATGTGCATTCCGTATACTACAGTAAAATGTTGTCAATTACGCGCTGAAGTTCCTTTTCGGTTAAAAAAGCAAACCTGAAACTTTAAGCCCCTGAAACCTAGCAACGATTGCATCTAAATTCTCTTCAGTGAACACTCGGCGTTTCCATGCAGTTCCTTTCAGTCCAATGATCCTGTCCCTCTAAGTCTAAATGTATATACGTGGTGTTTTCATAAAGTATCGAGCCTTCTTTTTTCCCTCGTAAACCAATGAAGCGCGGGAGGCTCCCTTCGGCGGAGATGTGAAGGGGACATTCATGAGCAGTCGTGAATTTTTCCACGCCCGCAGACGCTGGCAGTCGGCCTATGAGTGAGGACGTGTAGTGAGCACTCGTCGGATTCCAGTAAGGTGTAAAATGACGGAACAACATGAGCAGCGATATTACATTAAATTTTGCCAAAAGCTTGGCGATACCCAAGTGGAAACCATTTGCAAGATTCAACAGGCTTTCGGAGACAACGCCATGAGCAACTCACGGAAAAAGGAGCGGTACAACCGCTTCAAAGATGGCCGCGTTCAGACAGACCCTCAACAAGCCGAAATGAGAATGTCATTGAGCAAGTGCGGACTTTGGTCATGGAGGGCCGTCGTATCACAGTCCGAGAACTTGCGAACGAGATAGGGGTAAGGATTGGATCGGTACATTCAATTTTGACCGAGGATTTGGGCATGAGGAGAGTGTCCGCGAAATTCGTACCGAAACTGCGCATCTGATTCAGACTTTCGTCGCCAAACACAACATCCCTGTGGTTCGTCAGGCTCCCTACTCCCCCGACATGGCTTCGTGTGACTTTTGGCTATTTTCCAAGCTGAAAATGCCGCTGAAAGGAACCCGATTTGAGTCAAGAGAAGACATCATGCGGAATGCGACGGCCCGGCTGATCATCATTCCAAAAGACGCGTTCCAGAAGTGTTTCCAACAATGGCGGAAGCACTGGGAGAAGTGTGTGTATTACCAAGGAGACTACTTTGAAGAGGATTAGGGTTTTGTACCTCCAAATCAATAAATGTATTTCTGCCCACCAAAGGTTCGATACTTTTTGAACACACTACGTACAACTGCATGAATCGTTAGTTATATATTGTTTGAAACTGGAACCCTGAAATGAATTCCGGTACGTTTCGACACAAGAACGTGACTACAGTAGCAGGGGCTTGGAATTGCTGTCAACAGGCACGTCACATATTAGCTTGCTTCACAGTAGTTAGTCGAAGATTAACCGGGGCACGCTGAAAAGACATCGTAACGTCTATAAGCAATTGGCTTGTCGACTACCCCAAGAGTCCCAACACATAAAACAAGAATTGAAACGAGTCTATACAAGTATATTCCTCCGGCCGGACCGGCCGGCCGATTTCCCGCACGCTCTTAGATGATTTTCCTGTATTTCTCTCTCACTTACCCGTTTCCCCCACTTAGGAGCTCAGGGCATCCGTGAAACGCTTTGTTTCACTTTAGTTTCTTAATCCTAAGAGAGTTGGTAGGATTCCCTGAACGGGGGATCAGCCTGTCGCAGAGCCGCTACCTGTTCAAACACATAATAAACACAAACATCCATGCCTTGAGTGGGATTGGAACCCACGATCCCAGCGTTCGAGCGGGCTTTAGAACGCGCAGCCACTGCGATCGGTTCCTGCATTTAAGGACCTATTGAATGAGCAATTGCAAACAACTGGCTTTACGGATGCACAGAAACGGATGAAGTTTTGTCTATAGTTGTCCAATCAGCACCCTTGGTTAGGTGACATATGGTATTGTATGTCCAAGCAATGCTGGATTAAGCCTAGGTGCAATGTGCCCCGTTAGAATTGCTACATCAACTTCAACAATCGCATGTAAAATCACACATATTTCTTCAAGGAACGGAATCATCTGTAGTTTATAATCGTTAGTTTTACGAAACTCCAGTAGAAAGTCTAGTAGTTACTGATCTGGAGACATTTATGGTCAATTTCCGGACGGCTACTCATCCAGAAGTCCTCTTGTACCGAAGTGGATATATTGTGGGGTGAATCCCCATCATGCCGGTAGAGTAGACGACTAGAAAATCCCTCCCATAGCTGCAAACAAGAAAGGTCAGGAAGTCCACGCGTTTGTTCCCGATAGATCACAAAACGAAGTTCACTTCTGGTGAGACACTTGAGACTTTCAAGTTGGCATGAGAATTCTCACTATAACAGGCCTTTGCAGATAAAATTAATGGCGGATTAAGATCTAGCGAAGTCCTGAGCTGTAATAAAGATGAGGCGCATACAATTTTAAAAATTATTGTAAAAATAATTATTAATAAACATTAAAAGATTTTTATTTCAATAATTACATGGCAGATGTTTTCCTTAAAAGCCACTTTAACGAATTCATCATTCATTCATGTAGCTGAGCTCTTCTTGAGAAGCCGTCAATTGTGCAGCTACCCAAGAAGTTCCCAGCACTTTATGCAACCCGAAGGTTCATTGCCGTGTTGACAAGAGCTCTCCACCGGTCCCTATCCTGACCCAGATCAATCCAATCCATACCATCCCATCCTATCTCTCCAAGATCCATTTGAATATTATCCACCCACCTACACCTTGGTCTTCCCAGTGGTCTCTTTCCTTCTGGCTTTCCCACCAATATCCTGTATGTATTCCTCTTCTCCCCCATTCGTGCTACCTGCTCTGCCCATCTCATCCTCCTTGACTTGATCATTCTAATTATGTTTAGGGGAGAGTACAAGTCAATTACTAAGAAACGTTCATTTACTTGTGGATGAGTGTTGGTAAGCCTGAAGAGCATGTTTAAGACACACACATAAAAGCCATAATGTGCATAGCAACATCAGAGCTGAGAGCAAGGAAACACCGTCTCTCCGTCTGTCTCCGATTGTCGCAAGTGTATCTGTGTGTTGTTCCCAACATTCCAATCTGATGCCTCACGCGGGTGCTGTTGGTCTGTGCAACAGCCTGCAAATTTCACTTAATTAAAAAACAAAACAAGCACCGCATCCGACTGAACGGCAAAAATCTTCGGTTTTCTGTTGAAGAACGTCCAATGAGCATGTTTCTATTAATGAACTGTTGTAATTTAGGCCAACGATTAACTTTTAAGGAGGCGACGTAAAGGGAAGTCTCAAATCTGAGACAGTAAAATATGGCCGCGAGTCCCAAGGGACTCGGACCCAAGAAAGACTGCGCTGGCAAGGGCCAGCAACATATGACAAAGACAGACCCGTCCTCTCGTAAGAGAGGGCGGCCCACAAAAGCAAGACCGTAACTGTCAAACGGTAATAAATATCTGGTCCTGAGCCCCCACATGGGGCTCGACACCAAGACTTACTGACTGACCGACCGTCAGTCGCATTAGCTTTTAAATGTGGTCACTGGACATTCTTGCTTGAAAGCGGCCGCTGTCCATGTTAGGTCAAGAGGCGATCTGCAAGACAGGCGGAAGTAGGAACCCTAACTCCAGACATGCGGAATACAAAGAAGAGTCGTTTTGCAGCACTGTTTAAAACGGAATATGCAGCCTTCAAGTGTTCAGCTCCCTGTTTGTATGCGAATTCCGTTCGTCTTGCCTGAACTTTTTTTTCTTCTAATGCTGCTACTTTCAATTTTAGGATGTGGCTCTTTCGAAGATAAAGAAGCAAATGCTTTTCAGTGCAAATCAGATTTTGATTGATGAAGCCAAAAATCCTGCCTATTGTTGTACTGACGCCATTTTTGTTATGGGCGATGGCATTGCTGAAGTAACCAGGGAACGTCACACGTGACCTCAAAATTTGATGATTTTCTGTACACGTATTAACTTACTTAATTGTTTCTGGTATAGTTCATAATATCTCATTAATTCCGTCTCATTCATTTTGAAAAATAAAAAAACATAATATTTTTATAGTTGATTAGCTTCATCATGAATTGATTATTTATTAGTTTATGTAACGTTTTCTCAGCATAGATATTTTTACCACCTGATGGGACAACTGCGAAAGATGGATCGGAAGTCGTATTTTAAAGGTACATATTTTCGAAAAAATTATGGGAACGGACCCAGGAAAATCACGAAACTGCTCAGCCAGGATAGCTGGATTCCGAGTAGAGAATCGAAAGGTGAGGACTTCGAGGGTTTGGGGGGGGGATTAATCACTCACCCGCCATTCTTGATTCTCTGCAGTCCTCTGCAGTAAAATTTACGACTGTTGGCATCGCCCTTTGATTATCAGTTTCAATAGATTTATATCCAGCGGGCAAAGGAAGACCAACGGC